AGCTCGCCGACCTCGTCATGCGGGCGACGTTGGGGAGATGAGTGTTAATGACTTAATAGCCCTTGAGACACCTATAAACACTGTTAATTTTGTACATATTCACTCCTTCATGTAATTGTATTGGCCTGACGAAGAATTACCGAAAAAACGTGTTAGCCAACTTGACTTTTCAAGTGTAACATGGGAATATTTGCGAAAATATATTTGATTTTATAAGACCATCCAAAATCAATGCGAAAAATGCCTGCTGCTGAAGTAGTCATTTTTTGTTCACCAAGAACGATTTCTGCGGTAAGTCAGAAAGAAGCGCATTAAGAAGCCGACATCCTGTCGAGTCCGAAATGTGATGGGGTTATGCTACGTGATAGTTAATACTACAACGCCACCTTATTAATCCTTCCTAGTCGAAAACGCATTTCAGAATTTCGGCCAAAATTTCATGAGGTCGGTAACGCACTGTAGCTCTACCTTGATAAATCGAAGCAAATGGACTTTACACTAAGTTGCACGTAATATATTAAGCACAAATTACGCAGCTACAAATAATGGTTTTTTGGCAAACTTGAATAATTGCTTTGGCCCCACTGTGGTATATATACCCACGAGAGCGAGGGCATGACTTGGTTATAGCCAAATGTGATTAAACTCAAGATCCCCAGTGGGCCTCGTAGCTGAAGTGGTTAGAGTGTTGTGTGTACTCGAGCCATGCCCTTGTTGCCATGGGTTAGAATCCCGCCAAGACCACCGGGTTAGCCTTGTTTACTTTCCGAGGAAATTAATGCGCGAACTTGGAGTAACTCTTTCGAAACAGACCTTTTCAGGCACGATCCGAAATTTGATATGAATATTTGAGCTGAAATCCATCAGCTACTGCGGAATAACCGCTTAATACTCACAAACCGCCAACAGGCAACCAGAAAACACACGGGCAAAGTTGGGGGACCCACTGACGAGCCGAACCCCTCGCAGCTGCGTCAGGCAGCGGCATGAGATCGGCGAAACACGCGTGTCTGGGCTTTTAGCTAATACCTGTGTTGCTAGTACGGTAAATCATTGCACAACCATCGGATTTTTCAAAACTGTATTAAACGAACGGCTTCTAAATAAACTATGAAAACGTACGACATTAGAACGCATAAACAATAACTGTAAAATAGGCACACAGCCTATCTAAAGGGTGAGACTACTACCATGAACCAAGGAATTGCTTTACGCCCTGCCCGGAATGTCCTTCGCAGGAGGATCCCTCAAATTCACTAGAATTATGCTATTATGACTGCTGACAAAAGAGCAGAAGCAAGTGCCCTTGGAGGAAGACGTTGCAGATTTAGGCGTTACAAGTCAATGAGGATAACAACCGCAAGGTGCATAGTCAAATCCACTTTTGAAGAGTCAGTTGGCGAACATATATTTTCGGTAACTCATCATCAGGCCGATACATTTACATGAGTAATGATCATCCTAATTGTAGACAGCATATAAATGCGTCTCAGGGGTAGGGTTAATCGGACTCGCGCGGCCCGCACGACGGAGTCAGCGTGTTGAGGGGGGGAGAGGAGAGGGGTTCCGGTTTGATTGTAAGGGCCGTAAGTGCGTGTGACTGCTTCCGGGGTGTCGGTGCGGTGTGTGATCGCCGCCTGGAGTCGGCCAGGGCAGACAGTGTCAACGTCTTCTGGCAAAAGAGCGCTGGGTTCGCTAGTCGAATGGTCACTGCTTCGGCTGTGGCTAGAACCCGTTTGGGCAGGCATTTTGTGACGCTCTGTCGCAACGCCCGCCGCCAGAAATTACACCTCTCATTAGTGCCAATTCAGTCATTTCGTCCACGAAGAACGCAAAAGTAATTCGCGTGTAGACCGCAGTCTCATCATGGCCTTCTGCTTGCAGCTAACATCCACGTCACGGTACGACTGACCTGGCAAGGCCAGGCGTAGGACGGTTGATCTGTAGAGTTTCCACCTCTGATATGGGGGAGACAATCCCAGGGACTGAGTGCTGACGCATACACATTATTGGCCGGCAGTCAGCTTGTACTAATAGCTACGACTACGCCTCGACATTCTGCACAGAACAGACCGTCTCTGCCGGTGTGCCACGTCTATTCATTCCTAACGGAAATTAGACCCAGGCTTGTGCCGTTCGACTAACATAACTACAATAGTGGAACCGACAGGAACAACGACCTCCACCGCGTGCTCCAGGGAGGGAACGCAGAACCGATGACTTGCGAGTGAACTGGCCTATAGTGTGGCTGGCTTGCGCAACATCTATCGCACTCTCTCCTCCCCTGAATACTTCAATCGGATGACAGGACAGCGTTAAGACGACAGTAGGAGGGCGCGAGCGCAGTAGCTGACAAAGCAAACAACACACGACCTGCTCCCAACTATACATATACAGTAGGTGGGCTTACTCATGAAATGTCAACCAAAATCCCGAAATGCGTTTTCGTCTCGAAAAAATTGCAGAAGCAGGATTTTAAAATTTAATCATTGTGCAGCATGATTCTACAATAGATCAGTTACCTCAGGATGCCAGCTTTCGGACGAAGTTCTTTCCGGCCGCAAGTAAAAACCAGGCTCTGTAAAAAACGGCTACCTATGTAGCATGAATATTTTTCATTGATGTTCGATGACCCTTAAAATTCAGTTGTAGGAAGACATACATAAAAATATTCATTCTTTTGCTCATTCGGTAGAAAATTACGTCTCCTTCCAATTTTATACTCGAAGGAAGGGTATAACCCGGTTTTAAAAAACGTTACAAATTTCCGAATAATTTTGAACCCAACCTGCCGTTACACTTGCGTTCAGGATTTCAAAACTGGAAGCCGAATGTTTTCCGCGTATGGAAAACCATACATTTCTCTGCGGTATTAAGAGGACAATATAAAGGGTTCACAGAATTTAGTAGTGGCTTTGAGCTGTATTGTCAACTTTACAAGCCACGCGGGTAAGTGCAGAGACATGGCTTTTTATGAACGGCCATTTCACGGTATTAAAAAATCTCGCAATTAGAAACGTTTTTGGAACCAAATCATACCAGTCCTTCAAGTATAAAATTGGAAGAAGACGTAATTTTCTACCAAATGAGCAAAGAATGAATATTCCTGTGCATGTTTTCCTTGAAATATAATTGGACGTTTAGGAGCATTGAAAATCAATGAGAAAAATGCATGCTACAAAGGTAGTCGTTTTTTACAGAGGCTGGTTTTTACTTGCGGCCGGAAAGAAGTTCATCCGAAAGCCGGCATCCCGAGATACCTGAATTATTTTAAAATTATGCTGCATGATGATTAATTTTAAAACCCTGTTTAAGTAATCTTTTCGAGACGAAAACGCATTTCGGAATTTCGGTTGACATTTCACGAGTTAGCCCACCTGCTGTATTTCAGGCTTTCACGAAAAGGACCAAATGAGCACGCCATAGAAGCCAAATTTAGAAAGATCCATTGCAAACTGACTCCCAGTCCTGAGAATTATTCCTTCCGTTAGCAACGCTCCAAGCCATGACTCTTAGCGCGTCGTGTTGGCTTCAAGTGAGCCAGATTTATTAGAGAGGAATGAGAAGACTTACCATGAGGATAGATTCCCCGGTGTCAGTCGCACTTACTCTTCCTTCCTCCATATACACGGGCCATCCTACAGAAAGCCACGCCCACCTCATAAATTTTACTCGCAAGATGCTACTCTGATTTAGGTCGAACCACAGTTCTCCTACTTTCCTCCGGCATTATAATGTCCATACCATGCATAACATCTACTGCACTCTCCCCTCCCCTACATACTTGAATCGGATGGCAGGTCAACGCTAAGACGACTGGAGGAGCGTGCTGGCGCAGTAGCTGACAAAACGAACCGCCTGTCTATGTGCTACACACGACCTGCTCCCCGCTATACATATACAGTAGGTGGGCTAACTCATGAAATGTCAACCGAAATTCGTTTTCGTTTCGAAAAGATTAATTAAGTAGGATTGTAAAACTAATCATCGTGCGGCATAATTCCATAATAATACATTTACCTCAAGATGTCGGCTTTCGAAAGAACTTCCTTCCGGTGGCATGCAAAAACTATATTCTATAAAAAATGAGTAGCATACATTTTTCTCACTGACGTTTGATGCCCCTAAATGTCCAATTATATTTCATGGGAAACATGCATAGAAATATTCATTCCTTCACTCATTTGGTAGAAAACTACGTCTTCTTCCAATTTCTTATTCGAAGGAAGGGTATTATTCGATTTTCAAAAACTTTCCCAATTCCCCAATAATTTTAAATCCGCTCTGCCTTCACACTTGCATTCAGGGTTTCCAAACTACAAGCCGTGTATTTTCCACGTACGGAAGACCACACATTTGTCTACGGTCTTAAGAAAAGACCGCATGGGATTCATAAAATGTAGCAGTGGATTCGATCCATATTGTTAACTTTACAAGTCACATTGGTAAGTGCAGAGACATGACGATGTATGAACGGCCATTTCACGGTATTAAAAAGTCTCATAATTAGAAACTTTTTAAAAACCGAATTATACCCATCCTTCCAGCATGAAATTGGAAGACGCAATTTTCTACCGAAAGAGTCGAAGAATGAATATTTTTATGCATGTTTTCCATGAAATATAATTAGAATTTTAGGGGCGTCGAAAATCAAAGAGAAAAATGCATGCCACAGAAGTAGTCCTTATGTTACAGAGTATAGTTTTTGCATGCAGCCGGAAGAAAGTTCGTCCAAAAGCCGGCATCCTGAGGTAACTGAATTATTATGGAATTATACTGCAGGCTAATTAGTTTTACAAACCAACTTAATTAATCTTTTCGAAACGAAAACGCATTTAGGAATTTTAGTTAACATGTCATGAGTAAGCCCACCTACTGTGCATATCAGGCTTTCGCGGAAAGGACCCAACGAGCGCGCCATAGCAGCCACATTAAGAAAGAGCCATTGCAACCTGACTCCTTCAGTTAGCAACCTTCCAAGCCATGACTCTTAGTGCGTCATGCTGGCTTCAAGTGAGTCAGATTTAGTAGAGGGGAATGAGGAGATTCACCGTGAGGACAGATTCCTAGTGTCGGTAAGACTTACTCTTACTTTCTCCATACACCAGTCATCCTACAGAAAGCCACGCCCACCTCATAAATTCTACTCGCAAGATGCAAGTGCTACAGTTCTTCTATTTTACTTCTGCGTTATAATGTCCATGACTTGTTATAGAAGGGGTTGATCTTTTTTCCCAACTGTCTGATGATGTTAGGGTACTTGATAAATTATACTAGCGTCCCGTAAGTGCCCATAATTATAAGCTTTTACGCAACCAACCACATCGTGCCTTCAAGACAAGAACTCGATTGTACTAAGCCATGTAGAGGGAATATATAATAAAGTAATACGCACCTTTCCCAGGATATACAAACACATTAAGACAAGCATAGAAGGTGGACGGAAAAGGTGTACTAATGACAGCCATACTTTTGTTACTGTGATTTACACAGGTGTGCGGACAGACACTCAGCGGGTGACCAGCATTCTGCTCAAAAACTCATTTAATTGTTTTTTGTTTGTCAGCATATTCAAAAGCCCGGGTCACATTTTGTGGGTTTCGGCTCATCTTACAAGTTAAAAACATCCAACTAGGCTTTATCACGGAGTTAGCCACTTATTTAGTCTAACCATTCCATCGATTGTTATACCTTTGCCTATGCATCAGTAACCTTGGAAGTAATTGCGGCAGTTGGCCGTTTTGTATTTTATGGCAGTTTATCCCCGTAAACCATCACAAATTTAACCCTAGCATGCAAAGCCGCACATCAAACAGACCAGCCCTATCTCCGCCCCACCACCACCACCACACCGAACAGTGATAAGCACCCTGATAAACCGGCGGTATGGCTGTGTTTCTGTCCGGGCAAGTGTGCGTGCTATGATTGGCTCTTAAATCTCCAATGGGATAAGGAATTGTTTGGAAACCAAATCTGGTGCATCGGTATTTGTGTAACGCGGGACGGCTGGTTGAAGTACTGGATCCTTGCAGGACATATTTTGAGACGCAATACAACAAAGGCTGACTATCTGTGGAATATATCGGCCTTTTAATCAGTCCGGAGACTACGTAAGCACTCGCTGAGATAAATTAATGCAGTTTTCAATTTGTATTGTGATAGACTTCAACATTACTGAAATTTAAATCTGCATCACAAAAATGGGCACAAATGTTGGTCTAAAAATTTATCAGATCCTAAGCGGAACAAAAACCAAACATAAAGTTTAATGCAGTGATTTCGAGACTACGACAGGTAAAAGCATTAAATCAGGTCTTATTTCAGTGCAAAAATAACTTCATGTATTCAGTATGCACGAGATTGTGTATTTTTCAGTGTATTGGTTCCACATGGCTGCATGGACATATATATGCCAAAGAATAGGCGGCGATATACGAAATTCAGTTCCACAGCCCAAAAGAAAATTGAGCCCATAGTTAAAAACAACTATTTTTGTATGTTAGGGGACTCGTGCGACAACAACGTGCCCATTTTATTCCAGCGTCCTTGAAGTCACCTTTGCAAATCACAGTCGAGGGTAATCGTTATTTATGTAGTGTGCATTACTTCATTGGTTTTTGATGCTTATGTAAATTCACTCAGAACATGTTCAAGAACCAAACTTTCAGTCTTATTGCGTAGACGAGTACGCTATGCAAAGTGTTGTGTCCGAAGCAGACAATTTTTGCTTTGAAAGGTTTTGAATTAAGAAAGCGTTTAAAACTCCCGAACTTTCAACATTCGTGTGTGTAGTAATGGTGCTGTTACCGTCTGTAAAATAATAAATTTATACCTAACCAGCTCCTGATACAAAGAAGCGTCTTTATGAAGTCAAAAAGATGCAAATGAAGTTGATGTAGAAAGAATTCATAAAATTCAGTTCAAAACTGTAAGAGAAATAAATATAGAGTTTGTATTTTAGAGTGTAGAGAAAAAAGTAACTGTGTATTATAGCGAAGCAGCTGCTCCCTCGAATATTAAATTTCAAAAGGAAGAATTCCAGAAAACATGGTCATAACAATCTAAGATTTGGGCATCAATCATATGAAACACCAAGAATCAATAAAAAATGGTCACCATCTAGGTAGTCAGTTTTGTCGAGAGGCAAACACAATCAAACTTAGTTTTATGCTTTACGTTACTCAACCTTGAAATAAATCTTAAACAATATCAACCAGTTTAAATGATATTTAAGAGCTTCAGTAGACCGCCTGCAAGGCTCGGAGCATGGTGCAGCTCTCAAAGTTGTATTTTGGCAATATTGCTGAATTTCGAAGGAAAGTCGTAGTTTAAGAGGAAAGGAAGTTTCGCAAACGACCCTCTTCATTCAGAATGAAACCGGAAACCGGATGAGTTTTCCCTGCAAAAAATTTGTTCAGTTCGTCTGTCCACATCGGCAGGATTGCACACATAGCCCACATTACTGAAAACTGCAGCTTCAATAACCGAAAAATGAGAGCACCTAAAATTATATGGACTACTCAAACAAACGAAAGTTGAAAAAAGGTCTCCGGTCCACAAGTTAAGTGCAATATTATGACCGATGAATGATGTGTTTGACTTAATCGAAAGCGAATGTTTTGACTTTTATCAGGTTAATTGTCGGAGGGAGCATTTGTTTTGACAGGTGTGTACGTTTTCACAAGATCGACGAAACACCCACAGAGTGCATTCATAATCATATTATTGAGTATTTTTAAATATGATCTTTAAATAAACTTACGTGATTAACTCCACCCTGACTAATTTAATACTCGATTACAATTCATTTAACCGCGTCAGTTCTTGTCTGTCGACATTATGGAAGTAGAGTAAGTTCGATGATAAATTTGCCAAGCAACACTGCTCTTCTTTTATTTGGGATGACAATAGGAGGGCTTTTCCTTTCTGCGTTTTATTTATCCAAGTAGGGTCTAATTATTTACCTTCGACAGTTGAGTAGGGGCCGACTAGTGAGTACAAAAGCTCCGGCAGTCGCTCATTGTGAATACATACCCCAAACAGACTTCTAACGCAGTTAAATTGCATTAAAACCACCTGTTTCCTCGTCGCAGAAGAAAGAGTTGTGTGCAAATTGGCTTTTCTTTCGGATGTTCGCAAAATCCATTAATTATGAAAGGCATTAGTCATCATTCTGCCCGTCCTTGACTGTTCACGGAAAAGTGTGCCCACGGCTGTGTCTGAATAAGGCTATTTTTCATGCAGCAGAGCTGCAATCAGGGCGCTTCTTTTAAGTGAACGTCATGCTTACATTGTGATGAATGTTAACTTCGAGGGCTGGAGTGCTATACTGAAAGATGTGCAATTCACATTAAAGGAATATATTGGACTGAAAAAGCAGCACTTTTTACTTGTAAATTTATGAAGTAAATACGAAGCGCGAATAAGAATCAGAACTTTAAAAGATTTATCTCCATATATCTACAAAACTTCGTTTGTATAACTGATTTATTGTTACAGTTCGTTTGGAAGTTCAAAATTACGATTCTAATTGTTTTCTTTTGCAAATTTTGTTGACTTTATAGTCTCTGCTTTGCTCATTTGCAAGAGTTCTCTGCACTGTTAAATCAGTCAGATGTTGCTTAGGGCTATAACTAGTGGCTCTGCACTAAGTCCACTTGGGTTTTTGTCTGGATTGAGATAGATGGCAGTGTGACGAATGCTAGATGGCGAATGCCATTCTCGCTTACTTAGCATCCGCATTCGTTTTAAACGTAGCGTGCCGAAGCATTTTTGTTATATTGGCAAAAATCGCTATAAAGGCGTCCAGTTAAAGGGAATGATAAATAATTTCTGCCAATGGAAACCTTAGTGCGGATTTAATTTGCTATTTCTCCCTTCCCCTTTTGAGCATGTTTGTATAACTTTATGATTATCGTCCTCCATTGTTTTTTAAAAATTCCCCTTTTATGCTTGTTTAGGTTCTTGTGGCCAAGATAGCTTGACCTTTTCAAATAGGGTACTATTATGCTCTAAAGCAGTTAATTTGGCTCACTATCTCATGAGGCGTTAATCGAAATTCTGAAATATGCTTTCGATTCGAAATTTATCGGTCTGACGTTTCGGATTCTCACTCAAACCGATCATCAGAGACAGTCGCAGCTCCATGTCTGCAACTATCTCTGATGACGAGTTCGAGTGAGAATCCGAAAAGTCAGAACAATAAATTTTTTAGTCTAGTAGTCGCATCTTCGTCTTCTGAACTGTTTTCTGGAACCTCCCTGTTTGCTCTTACTTAATTCATGTTTTAATATTAATTACCGTGCAGTATGCTCCTAAAATATTGCAGCCACGCCAGGATATCGGCTTTCGAATAAGCTTATTTCAGTCCATCAGCGAAAACCTACACTCTGTAGAAATGGCCGCTTAAGTGGCGTGAACCCTTCCCGCTGATTTTCCATACCCTTATAAGTTCACTTACATATTTTGTAAAACGTATGCACAAATATTCATTATTGTACACATTTGGTGGCAAATTGTGTTTTTTCTGATTTTTTTCTTGTGGAGAGAGTATCTTTCGAATTAGAAAATTTTTAATTAGGACATTTTTAATATCAGCATCATACCAGCGCGTTTATTAATGCTGCTTAAAAATGCAGCCTGATACACATTCATTGCATAATTTTACGAGTCTTATGTGGCGTCTTCCTAAAACTTTAGAGAAACGCGTGATATTCCTTTAGCGGAATGCACGCAGCATATAGTATGGAAACCTGAATAGATGCACAACGGCAGGCAAAAAATTATTCGGGAACCGGAGTTTTTAAAAGCCGAAGTCTGCTCTCTCGTCAAGCAGATAGCTGAAAGAAGACACAATTTTACTCCAAGTTGGTGCAAAAAGGAATATTTTTGTGCACTTTTATGTAAAATATATTTGAATTTAGAAGGCTACCTGAAATAAATGTGAAAATTTCACACGGCTGAGGTAGCCATTTTTACAGAGTGTGCTTTTTTACAGGCCGCCAAAAGTAAACTCATTCGAAAGTCGGCATTCTGACGTGACTGAAATATCTAAGGATAATGCTGCATGTTAATTAATCTTACCTGAGTCGAATCGAAAACACATTCGAAAATTCCGGCAAAAATTTAATGAAGGAGCACATCTACACAGTAGGTCGTGTATGCTATCGTCTGTGATGCAGAATATTTCCTTAGTTAAATGGTCATGGTTACTAAAATTGTTGTTATCTTAAATAAAAGGAAAAACCAACGAAAATAGTAACTAGCATATGGTTAGAAATAATATCGCTTCCAGCAACTAATGCATACGGCACCTTAAGGGTCGAAATTTCAGAGCACGAAAGGCAAATATTTACGATATTTAATTAAAAAACCAAATGGTTGTTTGAAACATAGTTTCTCTTACTAACAAGGCCAACGGTCAATTCATGCATTTAGTTAAAGAAAGGGTTCAAACAACTAAGAAAGTATTATTGCAGTATTTCCCTAAGAAGTAGTTTTGTGGGAGTTCACATTATCCACGAGGCGTGCGGCATAAGTAACAGCTAATTTATTGGTTGGGGCGCGACATTTACATGCAGTATTGAACTTATTTCGTAAATAATTTACGTGAATAAATTACATATAGTTTTATACATTTAGGAAGATGAAATTCTTCGGGAAACAGTAGAATTTATTGTTTAAATTTTCGAGAGTGGTTCCTCAGCTCGTCTTCAGAAAACGAGCGTACAAATACAATTAACTTCTAGATCGAGTCTGACAAGGGATTCTACGATTGGTATTTCCAATGCTACGGCCGCTCAGGCACCAAAACCAACCACCTGGCGAACTCTCCCATACGTGAAAAATGTATCCGAACTAGGCGAATGACAATTAAAAAAGTACCAGATACACGTAGCACACCAGCCGGCAACTACCTTACGCACACAGCGTGTACACCCTAAGGACAGGGTTGGCTACCTCGAAAGGAAAGGTGTTGTCTACAAAATCCCATGTTCTAGTTGTGATGCTGTCTATTGTGGCAAAACTGTCTCAACCCGTATGCATAAACATCGGTTAGCGGTAAATAGACGCGACCATCTATCCCAGGTGGCCATGCACACACTGGACACTGGGCACAAAATTGCATGGGAAAACACTCGCATTGTTGGCGCCTGCCCAATAAGGAAAGGCCGCCAATTCCTGAAGGCAATGCGCTCAGATGAAGCATGCATTAGCCGGCATATCGATTTAGATGCCGAATACAAAGTTGTTAAGGACGGATTCAAACTGACCCAACCAATCCCGAGAAGATGACTTTAACCAATCATAGAATCCCCTGTCAGACTCGGTCTAGAAGTTAATTGTTTTAGCACGCCCGTTGTCTGAAGACGAGCTGGGGAACCAGTCTCGAAAATTTACACAATAAAATTTGCTGTTTCCTAAAGAAGTTCATCTTCCTAATTATGTCCTTTGGGATGTCTGCTTTTCAATTTAATATAGATATAGATTTAATATAAATATAATTACGTAGATTTGCATAAAATAAATTACACGATTTAATGGTTTTTTATAATTATGTGGCCTTTTATTCAATTTTGTCCATTATTGACACCTTCACGCCAAGCCTATTGCGAAACGTCTCCCAAGGCCTACAACGAATCACATACTATAGAAGATATGTGAATGAAAGCTTTTATAGTTAGTAGCCCACCCGAAGGTATGAAAATGGCAGGTGCGAAAACTTACAATCTAACAAGAAAGAGGAACACTGCCTTCTTCAGACGTTCTTACACAGAGGTAAGCAAAAGGCTCCATCCAGGGGCCAGTCTATCAAAAAAGCACCCGAAAAGGACAATGTATGCACTTTCTCAGTTGCGTTCCAGTTTAGTTAAAGTAACTCGCAGTTATGTGCCCGTTCCATAGAATCACTAGAATTTGTACTACAGAAACGGTCAATAATAAGAGTAATATGAAGGGTGTTTATTTTGGTAACGTGTACCCGGAGAAATGTATTGATAAATGTCGCCATGTCAGGAAGTACAAAGGAAACGTTCGCTCCCAAAAGGTCAGCAAGCATCCACCTCCCTTTCATGGCTGACAATGTGTCAAACGGGATCAAACGGCGACTCCGATGCACGACTGAACGGACCTACGTCGCCTCTAACTTGCTGCTCATAAGCACTATAACGGTGAATTCACTTTGACCAGTCAAATGTATCCTGCCTCTGCAGGCCAACAAAGCAAAGACAATTAGCAACTCTGTCGGTTGGACACAGGTCAAAATGGATGTTGAGAACGGAAAGCAAGATATCGAAAGGTTCGTACACAAAAAATCTGGTGACACTGCCATTCAATGGCTGCATTTAAGGCCCTTCTTAGGGTGACGACTGAATGTCTCCTACCCTACTCAGAAGCCTCGGAAATACAGAGGAGAAGGACCGAACTACGGTTGGTATGCCAACTCATGACATGTTAACCGAAATTATGAAATTCGTTTTTGTTTCGAAAAGATTACTTAAGTATGCTTATAAAATTAATCGTCATGCAGAATAATGCTACAGTAATTAAGATACCTCCGGATTCCGGCCTTCAGAAGAACTTCTTTCCGGCTGCATGCATAAACTATATTCTGTCAAAAATGACCACGTACATAGCATGCATTTTTCGCACCGACTTTTGATGCTTTTGCATATTCAATTGCATTTCATGGGAAGCATGCATAAAAATATTCATTCGTTCACGCATTTGGTAGAAAATTGCGTCCCCTTCACATTTTATACTCGAAGAGGGTATAATTTGGTTTTTAAAAACTTTTCCAATTCCCAAATAATTTTGAATCGCACTTGCCGTTACATTTGCATTCAGGATTTCCAAATCACAGGCCATATATTTACGCGTACGGAAACCCATACATCTCTCTACGGTATTAAGAAGAGAGAGTATGGGTTTATAAAATCTAGCAGTGGATTTGAGGCGTATTGTAAACTTCACGAACGACATTAGTAAACGCAGAGTCAAGATGTTTCGTGAACGCACATTCCCCGGTATTAAAAAATCTCATAGTTAGAAAGTTGTTTATAACCGAATTATACACTTCCCTCGAGTATAAGATTGAAAGATGTTTTTTTTACCAAATGTGTAAAAGAGTGAATATATGTATGCAGTTTTCCACGAAATATACTCGAATTTTTAAACGGCATCAAAAATTAATAAAAAAATACATGTCCCACAAGCAGTCATTTGTTATAGAGCATGCGGCCGCAAAGAAGTTCGTTCGAAAGCCAGCATCCTGAGGTATCTAAATTATCCTAGAATTATGCTGCATGATGACAAATTTTACAACACTTCTTAAGTAACCTTTTCGAAACGAAAACACATTTCAGAATTTCGGTTAACATTTCATGAGTAAGCTACAGTAGGTGAGCAGTTTGGGTTACATGATCCACTTCGTGCTGGCACGATGCCAGTCGCCGGGGGAAATGACCCATCCTCTCTGTCTCTCTCTCTCTCTCTCTCTCGACCCCCAACCCCTCTCCGCCATGCTGTAAAGCTGTAAACACACTTTACGAGGTCTCGGTGAAACCCAAACTCGCCCACCTATACAACCTCCTTCTCCCTCGCACCATGCCCTACCGCCTGTTTGATCAACACTCCGTGGTATTGTTTACCTCTCACGTCTGGTCGCCCTTGGCCGTTTCTTTTTGAATCCTTAGTCGTAGATCCTGCGTGTAGCCTATCTTCTAGCTGATTTGATCACAGTGCCAAATATGTCCTCATATCGGCCCGACAAAATCATAATTTGCCCCGGATATTAGCAGAGAATTTCGGATGTTCGAGACTGCAAGCATAAGGCTTACTAGTTGCTACAAGAGTTGTGAAAATGTGATTCCCAAGTGGCATGATAAGACGAGAAGAGGCGCTCACCGGGAGAGGTTTATATGAGGTCCGACCTTTCGAGTAGTGATTTCACCTTCTCCTCTTCAGAGACTGGACAGTCTTGCGCAAAGCGTCCCTTGTATGGCGCATTCTTCTTAATGCGCAGGCCGCCAGTGCTATGGGACTGTATCTGACCCCGTTTCACCGTGACCTCTATCGCATCGCCCTCATTGACCGCGACGATAAATGGCGTTCCCGCTTATTGCACGCCATCCCTGTCCCCTGTCATGTAGGTCAGTAAAACCAAATAAGGGGAGGCAAATTGATGTAGCAGTTGACTACGTAGTCGGTGGATATTCGGGCTCACCTCACTTGATATGTGATCATCGCCTCAGCTCGCGATCTGAACGGCGTCAAAGTTGAAGATGCGTCCAGCCCGTGCGGTATGGGTTGCTATTCTAGTTGATACTCATTTAATAGCGTTCGTAGTCGTCGACTGGTTTCTCAAACTTTATTTCGCATTCCGCAGCTGCAATGAAGTCGATAGATAACGGTCGATTTCTCCTGTTCAGTAATAAGGTCTTTAGGGTAAGGTGATACCATACTAACAGCACAGGTACTAGCCAAAAGCCCATACACGCGTGTTTCGCCGATGTTCTGCCGCTGCATGACGCAGTCGAGAGGGGTTCGGCTCGTCAGTGGGTCCCCCAGCATTCCCCGTGTGTTTTCTGGTAGATACTCCAATTTAGAAATTGTGACTTTTTAATTTTCTCAGAAATTATATACGAAGTTGGAGTAGATCAGTCTGTGCCTATAAACCTTGAATAAACTGATCTACTCCACCTTCGTAGGTACTTTCTGAGGAAATTAAAAAACGACAAGTAATAGGGCTTGTTAGCCGCACCACTGGCCTGCAGCTTGTTAAGTCTGGCCTTTAAGCAACTCCTATTCCGAGTGGAGCGAGGGATTCAGCCGAGGATTCGGTTCATGCACATTAAGGCGAGTGAAGTAACCCGAATATCCACCGACTGCTTAGTCAACTGCTACATCAATTTGCCTTCCCCTATTTGGTTTTACTGACCTACCTGACAGGGGACAGAGATGGCGTGCAATAATCGGGGCCACCATTTATTGTCGTGACCGATGAGGGCGGTGCGACACAGTTCACGATGAAACGGGGTCAGATACAATCCCATAGCACTAGCGCCGTACAAGGAGAGCTTTGCGCAAGATTGTCCAGTCTCTGAGGAGGAGGAGGAGGAGGAGAAGGCGAAATCACTACTCGAAAGGTCGGACCTCAAATAAACCTCTCCCGGTGAGTACCTCTTCTGTTTTTGACGTAAAAGTTGTTTCAAAAATTAATGAACGAACTTGGAATCAGCGCGTCGAAACCGGACTCCTCAGTCGAACCCAGCGTCAAGTAGAGGCGCAAATTGAACGTCATCAGCCACAACCGAAAACTGACGAAAAATGCAGCCGGGAACAGGACGAAAAAGGTTTCTGAGCATTGAAAGCCTGGCAAAGCTAGAGACGCGGCGTTCGACTGAAGATGATATTATTTATCATCTTGCGTCAACCTTCAGATTAAACATGAAAAAGGTGGATTCTGCGCAAGTCCTTTCGCCTGGTGCTGATTAAAATAGCGTAGGCAGATTGGCAATCGAGGTGCACAAAATAAAGTGCATGAGTAACGCTGTGAGATCAACCAATGGGGAGGCGTCCTTGCAGGCGTAGCCGACGGGCGGAGAAAACCAATGAAAAACCGCTTATAGGGGTTATTTTCGGAGTTGGCATCTGAGCGAATAGTTTTGCTTCACAGAGACCGCACTCATCAGAGAGGCTGACATCACACTATGCGGCAGACAATCATTCACTGAATTTTTTTCGCCAATTTCCAGTTTTATGTCAAAAAATTACGTGCGATGCCAAAACTGCACTAGTTGCAATTAGACCCATTGATGAATAAGTTCACTAAAAAATAATGATATCTGTGAATTCAGGGCTTCACAAAATAGGCTAGTTTCAACACTCTGGGCGCCCGTTTTAGTAATAATTGCGTTTCTGTATGATGATAACTGCTCGAGCTTAGGTATTGTGGTGGTCTAACCAACGTCTGAATATAAAAACCGTCATTTTGCTCTGGGGCGGGCTACTCAAATTTTACTTCCCGGCAATTAATTTACGAATTTGGAAAAAGAACTTTCCAGACACGCTTTGAGCCTTGACTTGAGTCATTATTTTAAACCATCCTGACATGTACAGTGAGTGACCGATCTCGTGAAATGTTGGCTGAAATTCTGAAATGCGTTTTCGATTAGGAAGGATTACTTGGTCGCGGATGTAATAATGATTGTCTTAAGACATACTCTTATAACATTTCGGACTCGTCAGGATGTCGGATTTTAAATGCACTTATTTTCAATCTGCTGTAGGACGCGTGCTCGGTAAAAAATGACTACTTAAATAGCATACACTTTTCCCAATGATTTTCGATGGTCTTGCAAGTTCAAACATATTTTATAGAAACCATAAACAAAAATATGCTTTCTTTTAGTCAATCAATAGACAATCAGGTCTTCTTTAAATTTTAAACTTAAGGAAGGAGTATAATTAGGTTTTAAAAAGTTTTCTAATTGCCGAATAATTTGGAGCCTGATCATTCGTTGCATTAGCGCTTAGTGATTTAAATCTAGAAGGTGCATGCTTTCGGCGTAAAGAAAATCACATATTTTCCTATGCCATTAAAGAGATATCATACAGAGTCCATAAAATTTTGCAATTGATGCGGACCATATTGTACATTTCATGACTAGCAGTGGTAAACGGCCAGGTACGATGCAATGTGAATGGAAGTTTCGCGGTCTTAAAAAGTCTCATAATTAGAAACTTTTTTAAAACCGTTGGGCCGTTGGGGGCACTGGAAATCGAATTATCGTGTATCATGTTTAAGTACATGTTCCGAATTCCATTGATTTCTTTTAAGTACATTTTTATACAATGTCAGTGGACTTGTCTGCTCAGCCTAATTATGAGACAACAAAAGTTAAATTAACATTGTGGATGTTTAGGTGGCTTTTCATGTTTTAAGAAAAGTACAAGAAAGTAGTACGTTTTAAAATTACAATGTTAGTAAATTCAAGAAACTTCGGTTAGCAATTGCCGCAAATTAAATGAGGATGCATCCCGCAAACACCCTTAAAACATTCGGAAACAATAAGGTGATGCACCCACAAAGAAGTGCAGCAGGAAAACATCAGTTGAAGCCAGAAAAGCTTTTATTGGACAGACGGGATATTTTTCAGGGACAATGGGGAACGTTTCAACCGAAGGTCACATACGCAGTCATCTTAGGCTGTACTGTGAACAGTATTTCAGTCCACCATAAAAGTCATATCCATATACTACTGTACTCCATAGTGGGTTGATTGTGTATTGTTTTTACACACGCTTACTCGACAATCGCGTCGTTTAATGACCCAAGTTCGTTGGGGGACTGAAACATGTGAAATTCAACAGTGCTACACCGTAGTTTTCATTTCATCAAAAAGGTTTATTCAACCAACAGTGACAAGAAAAAATCGACTTCTCTAAGCAGCCTTTGTGAGTATGCACGAAGTTACATGCACATGTGGACGCAAGTACATTGGGCGAACGCAAAAGGCAACTGACAGCCGGGTCAGTTGACCACCTGCCTAAATGGCTTCTAAAGCAGGAGAATAAGATTCCCGGGTCTTCTATTACAAAACATCTCCTTGACAATGGCCACTCGGTTGACCCCGAAACGTCTTTTCGAGTATTAGTTCGAGCACGAACAACTCGGTCACTGCGCTACTTGGAGGCAGCCTACATACGGCGGGAGAAACCCGACCTATGTAAACAGTTAGACCACGTGGTCAACCTCAGCCTATCTTTGTAGATCTGAGCCCTTTTCATTTACGAAATCCCTCGGCGTGTCGACTTCCACGTTTTCTTTCCTCTGTTACTTCTCCAAGTTAACATTTTATTGATTAGTCTACGTGCAGTATAGGATGACCTTGCTGTTTTGCATTGATTTTCTCTGTCGAAGTTTAAGCCTCTGTATCTTTCTCACTTGTTATCTGTGTTATGCAACGACAGGCTTCAGTTGATAAACCGTCGCGAAATTTACTGGTACCAATAAATTCTGCTGCCCATGCCTGCTTTAAAAGTATGCACTTTGCTGACTACAACAAAAGAAGATACTCAAAATGATTTTATTTGAAAATATAGGAGACGCAAGTCAGAATCCAGGCCGTTTCCTGTGAAGTCGTTCTTTAAAAAAGCCGGCTTCATTGGGGTAGGATAAAAAGGTAGGACCTTTACAAGGCAGCAATGACTGATGACACAGGGTCCCAAAACATTTTGCATTTCAGGCAATTGACGCAATATTTGAAAATCAGGCGACCAAAGCGTTCGAACTTTTGGGGTTGAAGACCGTCCATAAAATATATTATTTTTGCCAGGAAGCTCACAAATAATGTTCAGACATTAGTAACGGCAGTGGTTTATGATGCCGACAAAAATACAAGCTTCAGAGGGATCAGACTAACGCCACGACTGCGTGTACGCGCGGGCATCGAGTACAACGCGCCTGATTAAGGATTCATACCGTTATGAAAGTTATTCCCTGACAGCTGCAATGTTAACCAAGGAAAAGTTCAAACATTTATTTGGCATAAACTATCTGTGAAAGCATCTGAGATCAAATGAAATATCCATGCCTACCATGCCAGCTAAACATTTGAAGACGAGACTGCACACCGCTTGGTAGCCTGTGCTGCCAAGTGCCTTTACAGTCATGTGAAGAAACGCAGTTCATCAGTTAGACACTTTTGTAGCAAATCATAGTCTAACTGTAAGGATGAAGATGTTTTTACGTCCTCCGAAATGCTACGCATACCAAAAAAGCGGAAACATTTTTGAAGGTGCACTAAAATGGCCCACAAAAAACGGTATTAAAAAGGCATACGTTAGGCAAAAAGTGAAATATCCTTATTTAAAGCAAATATGATTAGTTCTTGTTTAAAATGATAGCGGTTTACTCAGAAATTTCCTAAAGAACCAGCGTTTAAAAATTATAAATCAAACTCAGTTCGACTTTCGAAAAACCAATTTTCAGGAACGTAAACCTCAATCATCTCCCGGAATAGGAACAAGTGAAAAACAAACAGGATTAGTTAATGAACTCCGCCACCACAAATTTACACATTCACCATTTCAAATGAGGAGTTTAAAAACATTGAAGGTGCTCTAAGATCAAACAAATATGAACAAATAATGTTTCAAAGTACCTTAGGGTACCTGTGATTATCAATAATCACACAAAAATTCGTACTTACATTCGTTAACTTAAAACTTAAACATAAAGAATATGGAAACATTTCCCCGTCTTCTCAAAAAACAACCTGTTGAGCGTCTTAAGCACGAACATTTCGCCAAGGACCGCAAAGCAACCTGTTGCTCGTGACTATCACCGGTCATTGAAGAAGGCGTGCTCTCGATAGACGATGTCCCTTTGTCGTTTTCGTCCCTCGCTTCCGTAGCCATGATGGTAAATGCTCTTCTCAGCCATTTGCGAAAGCACCTATCCACTGGACTAATACATCTGAATGGAACAGAGGCATGTAATATCTTTCTTTTACGTCACGAACGTAGGACCAGTCAGACAGAGGACAGTCCTCGGTGACTGAGAAGGCCTCAGAAGAGGTCCAAGTGAGGCGTCTCTTGGTTAAGTCGTTCACAGTGTCGCTCTGTAAAGACACTCAAATAAATGCGAAATTTTTGTTTTGAAAGTTTTAAACCGCGATGTCTGATCACTCGATCTCGTTTTTTAAGATGCATTAATGCTTTAAAGTTACCAGCAATTAATCTGCCCACCGGACAGGTCAGACCTTACTACTACAGACTAGACAATAGACTGCATTGCGTTTTAGATCAAGCAACAAGAATTAACCAGAATTTGTGCATGTTGTCCTTAGACAGGCGCTTCCAGAATTATAGTTTGGCAACTGGGATTTGACCGAGTTGACCGAGTATTTGTTTTTTCCATTTCCCTCCAGTATCTGTAAAGTTTCTTTGCGGGACTTACGTGAGACTTTAGTTTTGGGTTTGTTCTCAAATCAGAAACCTATGCCATATGTTGCTGACCCTGTCGATTCACTCATCACAAAAAGTGTGCTACTGCCACCAGCGTTCACGTCCCATCTGCCAAGCAGGATTGAGATTACGTGGCATGAATTTGGAAAGATAGATTAGCCGATTGCATTGCAGATACTTAGTGAATTCGGTCTGTCGTTGCCAGACTTACGCTGATCATAATGCAAAGCCGTAATGTTTTTTACGAAACTCCTTAAACTAACGCATTAGACGACTGGCAAAGTGTGCTTAGCTTATGTGACATTACTTCGGGTTTTTCTAAATTCTACCCACAAGCACTACTGTCTTTGCAGCAGTTACCTTCGTAAAACAAGAACTGACGTGTCAGGGGCACTAACGAATTTCGGTCGTCTCAAGTGCGACTGCACTGATTCAAATCGATACCTGCCCTCACTGATAAGTCTTTAATGGCTGAATCAGGCAAACAGACAATTAGACGACGTTCCCACTTCTCCGCTGAATAAAAGTCAATCGCACCCGGCTACGTTCAGAACCATTAGACAGTTAGTCAGCATGTACTTTTTAGGTTTATCGATGTGAAACAAAACGTAAATTCCAAACACACTATATTAGAGAATAGGCACCCGTAAATTATTACCTAGTTGTATCGATCATTTGGTTTAATCACACAGGAATAAACTAGTTTTCGTCTCCGCGGCAGCGCACACGAACAGTGTGTTTAAACTGCTGCCTATTGCTTAAACGATGTCTGTTTAGATGTACAGTGGGTGATCGGTCTCATGAAATGCTGGCCGAAATTCTGAAATGCGTTTTCGATTAGGATGGATTACTTAGGTGGATTTATAATACTGCTTATCGTGCGCATAATCCTGTAACATTTCAGACTTGGCAGGATGTCGACTTTTAAGTGCATTTCTTTTAGATCTCCTGTAGAAACTGTACTCGGTAAGGAATGAATATTTAAGTAGCATGCATTTTTTCCATTGACTTTCGATAGTCTCATAAATTCAAATATATTTTATAGAAAACATGAACAAAAATATGCTTTCTCTCAGTCGTTTGATAGAGAATCACGTCAATTTCACATTTCACACTCGAAGAAGGAGTATAATTAGCTTTAAAAACGTTTCTAATTATGAGATTTTTTAAGACCGTGCAATGTCCATTCACACAGCATCGTGCCTGTCCGTTTACCACTGCTGCTAAAGAAATGTACAACATAGTCCGCATCCACTGCGAATTTTTTGGTTTCTATATGGTGTCTTTTTAAAGGCATAGAAGAATATATTATTTTCCATACACGGAAGGCGTGCACCTTGTAGACTGAAACCACTAGGCAGTAATGCAACGGCTGATCAGACCCCAAATTATCCGAGAATCAGGAAACTTTTTAATGAGCCTAATTATACTCCTTCTTCGAGTGTGCAATGTGAAAATGACGTGATTCTCTATCAAACGACTGAAACAAAGCATATTTTGTTCATGTTTTCTATAACACATATTTGAATTTATGAGACTATAAAAAATCAATGGGAAAAATGCATGCTACATATGTAGTCATTCTTTACCGAGTACGGTTTCTACAGGAGGTCGAAAGGAAATGCACTCAAAAGTCGAAATCCTGCCAAATCTAAAATACTATGGGATTATGCCACAAGATAATTAGTATTCCAAATCCACCTAAGTAATCCTTTCTAATCGAAAACAAATTTCAGAATTTCGGCCAGCATTTCATGAGATCGGTCATGCACCAAAAAGCTCTGAAAGAAGCTAACAGCAATATTTCCATCATCTATGCGTTGTGCATTCCCACACTCAGTTCTATATATTAGTGAGGACAAACGTGGTTATTCTGGATTTGAACCTGTAAAGCCAATACTCAGTGAAAGAGCCTGACAGCACGGTTTGTCCAACAGACGGCCTGATAGTTCCTTCGTGTTAGTGGCCCTTAACCAGACCGTAAAATTGCCGTTGGCAGTGAGTCCTCAGGCTATCGGGTGAGGGAAAAATCGAAAGTTAAAGTGAGCTCAAAAGCAGGTTTGTGGGACGAACTTTAGAGAGGAAATCCGCAAGGATTAAGGCTGCTGGCTTCCCTTGTAAACATGTCAGTCCAGCCTTGAGCTGCGCTCTATCTTGTCGAAAACAACATGTGTAAACACGGCAGTTAAACTGTCTCATTTAAATTATTCGTGTACAAACTTATTCCGGTGACTCGGTTGTTGGTACTTAAAGGGTTTTGGTGATATCACAATTCTGGTAACGGGAAAGAGACTTTCAAGCAGATTTTTACACAGTAATTTTCTGGGTTTGGGTCAAGCACCCATCCATTCATCTTCGTAAATCCACCTTGCGAATTAATTATTACCTATTTAGTGTAAACATGTTCCATTGTTTTTCGATGCCTATGAAAATCTAATAATACCCACTTAAGTTGATGAACAAGGGATTAACACATTATGTTAAATATTTATGAAATTGCGTACCTCGCAATATTCATGCTCCATGGCGACGAATATTTCGATTGCCATTAACCATTACAATGTTGAGAATTTAGACTTCTTTGTGAATGCAAAAATGTAGCCTCCTTTGTACATTTTCATTACTGACAATGGAATGATCTACGGTATGATCACATCCTGTCGCACGAAAAACTTATTTTTCGGTTAAGTAAGGTTATGTTACTATAATTCGGAAAACATCGCATGGCGTAAAGTGCGAAAACGTTACAAACGGATGAGATCACAGGTTTTTTTCTGAAAAAACATGTACAAGTAAAATTATTTATGGTAAAATAAGCTTTTATTCAAGCAGTGTTTAAGAAGGCATAACTTGCTAGGTTCAGATTACTGCTTTTGTCTTCTTGAGCGAGTGCTGCTCCTAATCTTGGTGTACGACAGAGTATGATCATCCATTTTTATACGCCTCACCCGAAAAACGCATATGTCCACTGGTCACGTGCTTCAAGTGTCCTCAGTTTTGCCTTTGCCTGGAGTGAGTGATTGTACTACGTTGTATTCTTATGCCCCAATGTACCATAAACATTTCTACAACAGAGTAAAGTATAATTACCCAAAAATTCCTAATCTTAACTACGCCATTTAAACCTGGTCGCAACTGATGAAGACCGGTTTCTGACAGAAGTGAATAGGTGCTGCCTTTGTCGGTACCCACCACTCTGCATAAATATATATTCGCAGTAGCGAATACTGATACAAGTAGGTATTTTGCATACTTCGTGCCTCGAGTCCAGAAGTCTGTGCCTCACCGGCGCAATCTTTATGTATTTTTTTATCTTTAGGGCTCTCTTGGACATCTTCGTTATCCGAAACCTGTCAAGTGCAAATATTCCCAATGCAAGCCGAGGACTTTATGAAGAATACAACTAGCCCACCAAAGCAAAATACTTCTACGCTTTCTTCAGATTGGCTCATCGCTATAGCAGCAGTTGCTGGAGCACTCCTTATTTTGTTTGCCATAATTATCCTCATCCTCCTCTCAATACTACATCGACAACGAAAAACACGCGAAGCAGCCACCATTACTGACGAAATTGTGCTTGGCTTCGCGAATAAATACGCTGATTTTTCCGACAGGAGCCGAAGCAGTGCACCGCCGATAGATGATCAGAGTTGTGCGTCGACATTGGATCCTTGGGGTGCCTACGCTGCTGAGGATGGAAGTAGTTACTACAGTTCAGTGAATGTTTGTGAATGCAGACGCCAGGTCTTCCAGCCCTGTCCTGATGTGCCACATGCCGAACTTGGTGGGACAGCTCTCAACAAAATTCTGCATTTTAATACCTACCCCCAACTAAACGCAGGCAATGCGGTCGAGGCAGTCAATGGACATGTCACAAATTGGCCTGCTTTTGTGCAAAGTGCCAGCTGCAACTTTCCGCGCTCCCTCGCGCGTCCAAAGGAATTTTCGCGATGCCTGCGAACCAATCGGAAAGCGCCAAAATCTCGCGAGGTTGAACGCCTCATGAGAGAGTCACAGATGGACTCGGAGGGCATGAAGTGGTCCAACTGAGTTGGCTTTTATGCTCTGAGTGAAATCTGGTTCCCATTCCCGACGCTCTGGTCTTGCATATAATTAAATGCGCCAAAGCAAACAAATTCGGCTGCCACGACAACAGGGCTCTTCGATTCATGCAAGGCTCAGCTGCAAAAGGCACTGGGTTGCCTCTGGGCTAATCGACTTCCTATTTATTAATACATGAGATCTCTATATGTGGACGATTTTCAGAAAAGCTGGTTGTTTTTAAAAATGGTTGAATTGGACATTTCTGCGGCAATTTTTAAATTGAAAGCGACTTTTTCCAAGCCCTAACCACATCGCACAGAATTTCAGTCTGCCAAACTGCTTGTATTTCCTTATCGTTGAGTAAAGTATGAAAACAAAACGGCATCTAACTACTTGGTGTTCAGTCCCATCATGCTGATTCAGTTAAATGAAGCGGTTAAACCCCATTCACATGAATCTCCTTAACAAAGAGAGCTTGCGACGTTTCTAAATTGACTAACTTGAGATGAGGTTCCACGGTTGGTACGAGTAGGGAATATTGGATTTGTTTAAAATGGATTATTTCTTCAGTAATACTGTGTGACCGTCGGCTCTGGATTTTTTGAAAACCTCAGGACAAAGATACCCGCATTTCTTCTAAAATGGTCACCGACTAATTAGATCACTGTCAAGCGGTGTCCGTTTCTGTGGTCAAGGCGACAGTCTTCGCGATTGATTTGCAGTCCACGAACTCAATAGGGCCTTCTGAGGAGTGTTTATCATTTCGAAAATGTTACATGCGCGGCACACTTTTGCGTATATAGTGACACAACTCTCCTCGCACAACTTGCGTTAATCCGCACCTTGTACGGGCAGCAGTAGCATTCATTCCGGGCCGTACTGGGCAGCAGTCATGCTAGTTTAGAAGAGTTCCCCATTAATACTAGGCCGGTTCAAGCCCTAAGCTGAGTTTATGCCACACAACACTTGCGCTATTAAAGATGCATTTTACCTATTAATGGGAAACCCTTAAATAGTTTTTTTTTGGAATACGTTGTAGATTAGCTGCTTTCATCCTCGCCCTAAAAAATAAGGTAAATGAGAAACCCTGTGTAACATTTGCCTCAGAGAGTGGCTACGGTGCCATTTTCACGTGAAACCAAGTCTGTTAGAACTCGACGTTAATTTGTCAAATCGGAGTTTTAACAAGTTGTACACGTATTACTCTTCGGTCAACTGGATTTTTATTGTGCCTGTACGGCTGTAGCAGCTAGGATTGGCTGGGGCCCATTATGCTCCGAAAGTGCAAAAAATGTCAGTTTGAAAGTCTACACAAGCGGTCTTCGCGAATTAAAAAATCGACCCTTCTCTCCATGTAACCTGGTCGAGAAAATAAGTTCAAGGTAACGCGAAAACTGCATCACTACCACCCGCAAAAAATAGTATTTTGCAAGTCGGTGAACTGCCATGTCTCAAAAATAGGTTGTAATTCCAAACGCCAACTCTTTGTCTTAGGACTCCGGGAATTCCCAGTCACAGGCGGGTATTACGGAAGCGGAATGCTTGCCGCAGATTTGAATCAGTCATCTGGACCAATTGTGAAAATCTCGGCTGTAACTAAACCCGCGGCCCCTAGTCGGGGTCATAGAGCTCAGGTATTGTATTGTATTGTATTTTAGGGTAATAGGCAATGCCCTTGATGACCCTATTGAAAACGGTACATAAAATATAAATGTTAAATGTACATCTTACTAAAATTTTGTCAGTAACATATTTGTTCGCGGGAAACTTTCACAACGCGTGACTGCTAAGGGTGCGGCAGGCGGTCTTCTCAGTGTACACATGAAATTTTAAGTGCAGTTATATACAATCAGCATAAAGTGCAGTCATTTGCATAGTTTGAGAGGGGGCATCTCATTAAGAGTCAGGGGTGTGTTAAGTAGGGATGAAATCAAGAAATGAAATTTATGGCTGGCCGCAGGTAGTCCTGTTGTGAAAGTCGTCGTTTATCAAATATCAAACGATCCAGCTGCCTTTTGAATACAGCGATTGTATCAGATGTCA